CATAGAATAGACATTCTTTACTGCACCAACACTAGCCAAAAACAAAAATTAGACAAAAATGGAAGTCGTGTCTCCACCCCAGCTTGAGATTTTTAGTTCAAACTTGTCTGACAAGTGCACTGTCTGGCCAGGATCGCATTAAACCCAGTTCCTATTTTCTGGTTGCTGTCATGTATCCACGAGGCACAATCTGGTTGAAGGGCGAATTTACCTCGTGCCGTTTGAGCTATGTAATGCGTTGCACACCCAAATGATTTTACATGTGAATGAGCTTCCCTTTCATAAATGAAACCGCGCAAAACCTCTTGCCTTTGTGCCTACCATGCGTGCATCCTATTTCAAGCCCTCTGCAGCCTGCAAAGCTTTGCAGTCGGCAGCCAATTGTGGTTACAGTAATCATCACCGTCATCTCGACTCCAACCGCAGTCACTTCGCTATTTCTTCGACGAAAAGCTTTCTGCACAGGCATAGCTTGTCCAGAATGATAAAATCTGGCTAAGCGACTAGGAGAGTTGCGTGTCTTCCGTAGTCCACAACATCAACACGGCGAAGTCTACACCAGTTCACTGAACCGACCAACCAATAATTGGTAACTGGGAGGTAACAGTAGGCAGCTGGTCTTGCATAGATTGCACAAGCCTGTAGGACATATTTGGAGGCAAGTGGCCGCTGACAGGTTCACAGGGGCAGGAGGGTTCAAGGACCGACTTACCACCAGAGCGGTCAACACTGGTACTGCGGCAATGGCATCATCAAACCTGTCATTGCAGCTTGCCCGGGGCCCTGTCAAAGCCTTCACAAAAGCAAGATCATGCAATCAGCAAAACCCTGGCCATGGTTCTGCCCTCGTTCCTGACGTGCTTGATTTCGGAAGGTCTCCACTGACTTGACAAGGAAACCATTGGGATACCATTGGGACACATTCCAATCATTCCAATCATTCCAGCATGACCATGCAGGCAGTGCCATGTCCACATTGGAGACAAGCCTGGTCTGTGCCACATGTGCATCCCATAACGGACTGCGTCAGGGACGGACTGGGCCAAGCCCTGCACCCCGCAAGAATTCAGCACCGTGAAGGCAGTGACCAACAACCATGTGGCCAAAGGACCAACATGTTCCCACGCATCGACCCAATCCAACGTTAGTCAAGCAGTATTCACTTGCATTGCATGCGTGAGACACACGAGTGCCTCCTCTCATCGCTTCGCAGCGGCTCCGCACAACTTTCAGCTCGAACTTTGCACGTACGGAAATGGAACTATCCGTACCTCCAAGTCCTAAGAATACGCACGCTGCTTGAATGGTAAATCCGTCTTCCGCTTGCAACTGGCGTCTTTGGTCTAACCTATCTTAAGGTCTTAGGTGTCGGGGATTGTGAGTGGACCCGGAAGAGTGCCTGCCTCAATGGCTTGAAGACAAGTAGCACGGCTTGCAGAGAAAGAAGCCTGAAACAAAGTACTCAGAGCATTTGGTCAATGGCAGTGTGGTTACTGAGTATGGTTCCCAAGAAGAGGCTGTGGCCGGAAAAAGACATTTGCGCTGGGCCACTAGCAAAAGTTTGCGGGAAGCTTCAAAGGGAGCCAGTTGAAGCAGGTCGTCAGTGCATCGCCCAAGGCGCGAAATCGGAAGATTTGTTCACTGGAATGCAAATGATGCGGGCGCGCAAATCAGGCGTGACAATAAGGGGAATAACTAGTTGTCAACTTGGAAACCAGATGGGATCTCTGCATGGGAAACAGCTTGCAGCCGTGAGATCAGAATCTCTGTTCGTATCCTTCGATATTTTTCATAAGTACGGCATGTCATTTTCTGACCATCTCATGTAGTCTGCTATTGACTACGAACAAGCTGTGATTTTTTCGGCATGCAGCTCACAAGCACGCCCCGGTGACAGAGTCTTATGGTGCATCTAAACTGGGATTAACCGATTAACCCGAGTAAATCCGACACGGTCTCATCTCCTGTGAACATCTATGAGAAAAGACACGATACCTTCCAATCAATAGAGTTTGATTACTTGGGATGTGAAATTCAGCCAAGTTGACTTTAAACGTTTCACAGAAAACCCTTGGACAGTTGTCAAGTCCTTTGAGTCCTTTGATTTTGCCAATTATGAGCTATCTGCCAAGCCTGGTTCGAAGAAGCAGGCGGAAGGGGGACTGGTCGCACTGGGAATCATGGATGAAGTGGCTGAAGCATTCCCACAGTCATCTCCTCCTATGCTGAATTGTGCAACCTTTACAATTTCTGGTGCAGAATGTCGTCCGAGTCTGCAAGTCGTGGCTTTGGAATTCGGTTGCATCACATCTGAGGCCGTAGATGGTGTTGGAACACAGTCATTCCGCGAACCATCTGAAGTGGAACGACAAGTCACTAATTTCACTTGCTCAAGCTGTCCAACAAACGAAGAAACTTTATCACTTGGGTCCTTTAGCGCGGTTGATGCTGTATGCTGCATGGGTTTTTCAAGGAGGCCATGATTTCAACCACTGAACTTCGGCTTAGCATTCAAAATTTCACCCTGAAACTTTGGCTCAAGACAGCTAAAATCTTGGCGAAAATGCCTTCAAAATGTTCTTGAGGTTTCATGTCACGTGACAGAAGCTTTCAGTTTCCACACCGACACACGGAACTTCTTGGCAATTGCTGAAAGGGATCCTCTACAGGTTCCTGACACACTGCGCAAGTCCCCGTGGTCACCTGCGAGCCAAGTCAAAAAAAAATCGAAAGGTCGAACCACTTGAAGACTACACTGACACACCACAAGATCCTTCCCGACTCTGCCCTGAGGCAGATATGTGGTTGTGTAGAGAAGATGGCATGTAGAATTCACAAGGCAGACTATTTGGAGAAAGGTGAACATAGAGGAAAACGGTTGGGGCAAATTAAATGGTTGCCAAGTGGCGTAGGCATTGCATGTCATCCAACATCGCAAATGTGCCAATAAGGTCCTTCATGCACCCGAAGTCAACCATCTGTTGCTTCAGATGTCAGCCGAGAGTCCTCAAGTTGAGGGATTTGGAGCACTTCAGTCATTGCAATCAAAATCATTTTACAAGAAAACAGAAGTGTCGAAATTGTACAAGCACAACTACAAACTGGCAACCGCAAACCAAAGTAGATCTCACCTTCAAAAAGTGACGTCTTGAAACTCCAATCACAGCATATATCTTGAACATTTGAGGTGACGATCATGTATTTTACCCAGAAAACATTGGTTGTCAACTCTGAATTGAGCCACAAGGCCTTGATGTATACTGAAGGGGTTACAACTGCCCATTTTCCTGGATTTTGCCCGGAAATTAACTACAGTTCTGACGCCTGTGATGATTTTTAGGGGTTCATTACTGCACTCCTTTATGGGCGCTGCTGTTGCAAACCTCTGTGCTGTTCCAAGAATCTCAGCGTTGCTCACATGGAGACAGATTCTAAGCACGGCCACAACGGCTGATCAAATCTGATGCAGACACACAAAGGATGTTTGGTCGAATCTCAAGGAACACCACATTCTTGTCGCTCTCGGCAGTCTCCCTTCGGCAACCAAACCCAAACATCAAAACGTCAATGTGCTCGACTGCAAAAAAAAACTTTCTTCGAGTGATCCCCACCCTTACACACTCTTCTGACATGGTTTCTGACATACCATCTGGAAGTATTTATGGCTCTGACATTCTATCTGCCATCTATTCTGACATTCTATCTGGCATTCTAACTGGCATTCTATCTGTCGGGTCCACGCCCACTCCACAACCCCCTGAGCTCGCGATATGGTGGTCCGGTCCAGGCACACTCCACCGCCACCGGAGCTCGCGATATGACCATCGAGTCCAGGCGTGGCCCACAGCATCCCGACGGGCAGAGATGACACAGGAAGGAGAGACGGGGAAGAGGAGCAGGAGAAGCATCAGTAGCACCCTTTGTTAAAATCTAGACACCCTCACACACCCTCACCTGGCAGGTGGTGAAAAAATCCACATCTGCTTGGGACGCAGCTGCTAGTTAAGTTATGCTGACTTTGGGTATGTTCATAGTTCTGATTGTCATACCGTCCATGAAAAAAGGCTGTCTGTGTAACTTTTTGGATCACACCTGGCATTTTGTTTGCCATTAACTGCTGCGTAGGGGCTTTCTCAGTTGAGCACACTCAGCAATGCAATCGACCAGAGTCATGGCAGCGGCTTGCAATGCCGCCCAGCTTCTACAGTAAAAACAATTCTTGAAGTCAATTGAAATCTTAGTTCCGCTGCACAGTTGATGCAAAATATTGACAGCTGCGTACCTCCACAGAGTAGAAACCGGATTGAAGGAAGTGCAAAAATATAAAGTTCAAAATGAGGAGATGCAAATACGTCCAGGGGTTGTTTTCATACATTCAAAGTATGAGTCTTGTCATCCATGCTGCAAATGTTCTTAGATCTGCTAGGCCGTGGCTGCTAGGCACTTGTACTTCTTGCACACTCTAATTAAATCAAGTGAATAGCAGCATCTGTATCCAAACATAAGTAAACATAGTGGACATGAACGAGATCCCGATTCTAGTCCTCCTGTCCATGCAAACTAACCTAGACTGGGGTCAAACTGCACAAATTCGGAACCCTTGAAATCTCTCCTTGTCAAATTTTAGAGTTTGCTGGCTTTTGAATGGAACCCATGCTGCACACAACAACTGGGTACGGGTACCAACTTGGGTCAAGCAACAAGACAATCCTGGTCCTTAGAATCAAAAAGGAATCGAGAGATTGCACTCCTCTGTGCACTCATCATATTTTTTGTCGAGATGTTTTCCGAGAGAATTGGCCACCATGAAAAGTGGCTACCCTATCTACACCTCACCCTATCGACAGAAACAAGAAGGCACCGGAAAGCATATCCCTCTTTGCCACTCAATCTTGCAGTTCACCTTGTGCCCAAAATGGCTCGAACGCCCTGTGTTTGTTGGTAGAAACCATGATTTGCTGTCGATTACCCTTGAACCACCTGGGACAGAACATCGCAAATTTTTTGACCAGCACAACAAATATCATGTGTCTTGGGAAGCCCCAAGAGGAGGACCATTTTGAGTGCTACTTTGAGCACTTGGATTGCGCTGCTACAAGAAATGTGCTCCCAAGCGTTCCCGCCGCGGCTCAGACGGGGGAGATGCCTTAGCATCTGCTGTCAAATCAAAGATGAAATTTCATCCAGTCAAGGAAACTTGGAAAATTTTGACAAACACCGGTGAGTGCATCACAAAAGATCACCTTGGTTTAGTTTGGGGGCAATATGGATAGTTGGATATGTTCAACGATTTGGGCATGTATGTATCCAAATACAGCCGGCTCCGAAAATATGAGATCAAAACATTGAAGCCTAAAAATGTGTGCCGGCACCCCAACAAAGTTATGAGCTGGATCCCGCATGAGTACCAGTCCATCCGCACGGGGGCTGCCACCCAAAAGCTAATGAGTACCAGTTTGCATACATGGCCAACAACGCGGCTTTTTGGTGATGGGGCACTGGGTTTGCCACCAGCAGCGGAGCCCAAGCAATTTTTGTCTGGACAGCACCAAATCCGGGTGGCAACAGTTGCAATCACCGATTCAATCTTTCATCTGGGTATGGATAAAAATGCGGTACCAATGGCATCAATGGACTGAATGGACAAACTAAATTTTGACCTGTCGGGCATTCTCCAGCACCCTCAGATTTTCACTAAAGTGACGATGTCACATCCCAAACCCTGGCCTTCTCTGGTAAGAGATATACCTTGTCCAGGGTGGGTGGCTCCGGTACTGGATAGTTCCTCAGCTACACAGCTGCTGGGCCCCACCCTCTGCGACATGGCTGGGGGTCCCTGCGTCGGCCAACCTTCGGATTCCAAGGGATACGGAAAGGCAGAGTAGTTTGGCGGTCCACCGCCCTGGCAGCTTGGTGACATGGACATTGGCTGTTTCCCTTGTTTCCCTTTAAATCTCCAACAACTCTGATTAGGAGATTAGAGAAGATTCAGATTCATAGATTTATAGTAGATTTATAGTAGATTTATAGTAGATTTATAGTTTTATAGATATTATAGATTTATCATTGATTTATCATTGATTTATCATGTTGAAACATCACCCAGAAATCCATCCCATCCAAGCGTCGCAAGGCCTCCACCTGCCCCGCCAAGGGTTCCACATCGCTGATGGTCAGGACATCGTTTCCCAGGATGTAGCGCTCCACCAATCTGCGCTACAAAAACGTACCGTGACGACACACTTGGAATGGGGAAAAGATGGGAAAAGAAACCCAAGGTTAACACAACCCATTTGAGGTGAGAAGCCCCAGGTGTAGTTTAGGTGTGTTTATCTAAGATGTCTAAAATACTGGCGTGTCTTTGTCCAAACTCTCCAAAAAAAGTGCTGTTGGGTTCATCTAATGCTGTGGTGTGGATTGGATGTTGATATTTAAAATATTTTAAAATACAGTACATGTGGATATCTGTGGGGGGAACCACCATGACAAGAAAAGGAAGTGCGGCAACTGATAAATGGACCAAACCAAACATTTAGCAAATGGCCAACAAAATGATCCTTGTTTGCATCAGAGTGTCAGACTCCACCATATATCTTATGCCTTTGTCAAGATAGAATGCCAAAAAAGCCTTGCTATTTCAAGCACATGCAGTGTTCAATAATTGCCCGAACAGTTGGATACATTCCAGAAAGTGATCCCCGTTCTTAAAATTACAGTAAGTGGAACAAAGGTCATTTGACCCATATCTTTTCCGATGAAAAGGGACCATCACCCAAGGCTATGATAGAAAGACCACAATCAACAGCCGAAAAAGCGCAGGTATGGAATCGCACAAGGGATCGATTTTTTCTACACTCGGATGCCATCTGCCAACACTTGTGATGGCGATGTTCCTCACATCTACATGTGTTCTTTCATGGCAATCTTCCAGGTACTTAGTATCTGATTTTTCCGAGATGGACGCGTTCCAAACAGATTTGAGCCAAAATTGGGGACCTTGTTTCACCCAGACAAGTTCCAGTCCTCACCAATATGGAGCATCTTTGACAAACTGCCTACACAATGCGCCTCCGGGTGTTGTCCATCTCCAGTGCCGCATGCGTGGCATGCTTGGCCAGCTCCATGTCATAGGCTGCCTGGCTGTCAACAAGTTGGAGGAACCCCCAGTGTTTGAAGTATCTGGAGCAATGATATTGATTCATCAATCTGAATTAAGGCCAATTTGGGATAGTTACCCCATGTTACTCCTACCCAACACTAGAGTGACTTAATTTCTTTATCCAAAGATATCTTTTTATATCTTTTTGGGGGTTTCCTGTAGAATTCCCCTTCAAGTCAGTAGTGAAAACCATTGCTGCCGATGTTTCAACAGTGATTCTCCAGCAATCTCACCAGGCAATTGGACATCTCACCTGGTAATCTCACTTGCCAGGTTTGCCAGAGGATATGGAGTGTATCCAATGTTTGCAGTGCCGATGCATACACCCACGACGCATAGCTCGCCTGCTTGTGCGCCACAGCATTGGCTACCTGGAACAGAACGGATGAAATGGTGGAATTGTCATCAAAATCTTATGGGGGATCCCCAATAGCTGCATGGCTTATAATGGAAAATCACAAAAATGAATGATTTCAGGGTACCCCCCATTTTAGGAAACCTCCTTGTTGCCTGGATGAGTCTTCCATAAGCGCGGACCAACTCTGAGGCCCATGGTTGAAACCCTGGTAACTGGATGTTCATCCCACCCCCCCCATCTGGATTCAAAGTAAAAATGATGAACCTCAAAAGTTCGGCCATTTGGGGATGATTCCCCAGAATTTCATCTAGAAATTGGGAAAAACCATAGGTTTTGATCCATTCCCAGAGACATCATCTATCCACAACAACCCAGCGGGTCGGGCCAAAGGTCATGCGCCTTCACCGCCGCCAAAGCCGCATCACCCACATCTGTGTCATGCGTCTCCCTGGCGGATTTTTGGGGGTTTGGCCATGGCTCGAATGGAAAAAAAATGGATCAGCCAAGTAATTTACCAATAATCTAATGAGAAAAATGTCGGCTAAGCGGTTTGCATCGGAAATGATCGCTCATCAGATAGTTTTTCATATCTCGGTGCCAACGCCTAAACTCCTAAACGACTTTTGATGAATGTTGTTCCAGGAGGTGAAAAGCCAACAAATGGATAGACTTCAGTGACTTCACTATGGATTGAAAAAAAAGTGGATTTCTGCTTCTGCTATGACATCTATGACCACCAGTGAGGCTGACCCAGGTGCCTCTCAAAGATTGCCCCCATGGCTTTGTGCTGGTCGCATTTGGAGTCTGGAGGGACTGAGCTCGATGAAACTGTGTGTCGCGAGCTGGTTGCAATGAGCGGCTGGGTGAGGCTGGGTGTCTTATTTGCAAATCTGGACCCATTTGGACCAACTACACTGCAATCATCTGCTTGTTTCTACAGGATAAATGCTCAAATGTAGGAGAGATTAGACGTTCGCTGCCAGGGCTGTTGCTGGAAGAGACTGCTTGACGCACGCCCCATCTACCAGCGGATCGCTTCAGAAGCAGCAGAGATTCGAGAGCAGAGCTGAACAAAGTCTTGTGGCTATCAACAAGGGGCAAGGGGTTAAGAAGCTATGGACCTCAAAAACTTGGATGGTTTCGTTGGAAAACACAAGCGAAATATGTGAGTGTCAAGAGGTCAATGTTGATCCGCTGAAACGTCTCTCAGCTGCGTTCAGAAAGATACTTGAAGCATTCCTCAAAAGATGCTGACCATGGCAGAGCAAGCAACATGGGCCCTGGTTTTGGGGCAAAATGATCAACTCCCAAATTTCAAGGTTTGATACCAAACGATCCACCTCCCAAGCTTCAAAATGATTGTACATCGAACCTCCCAAGATTCAAATCCTCAAGTCCTTTGATTCTGACTCATATCCCCAAACATATCTTTTGACCCAAAAAACGGATGGCTCAATTAATCTTGATATAAAAGTGACAAGTTCTGTGAGTCCTTGGCTCAACGACTTGACCCATCACCATCTCAACGACTTTTTCCCGCCGTGGGTTTCCACGCTTCACCGGTCGGCCTCTGTTTGATGGGCATGGGGATGTGACTCAGGAATCGTAAGTGATTTACGGCACCCATAAATATGCCATACATAGATCTCTGGTAAATTAACATAGCTATGGAAAATCACCATTTTTAATGGGAAAATCCACTATAAATGGTCATTTTCAATAGCTACGTTAAATTACCAGAGGGTAGATCTCTGATGACATGGATTGTAGCTAGAATGCGAGTACTGTACATCTTATTTCATCTTATTTCCCAGCCGGGATCCACCCCCAAGGCATGCTGGAGAAAGCTTGACGATTCGTGATCCTCTTAGCTGACTGTGGACATTCCAGTAGGCTTTTTGGGGACGGCCAATTTATCACCTGTTGGCCTGTTGGAGTGCCATGAAATGATTGGAAGAGCACATCTTCAAGTACAGTAAACTCTGATGTGCAATGCGTATGCTTTACAATATGGATGATGAACTGCTTTGGGGCTTTAAAAGCAAACAAAAACGACATCTTACATTTGGTACCCTGACAATATTCAAAAGGTCTCTCAACAAATCTTCTGTCCTTGCAGAAACTCACATTCATTTGGGTCAGAGAATGGCTTACCCCAAGAAACTCATTCTATTCCATTACATGCCCACTATTTAGTTGCTTGCATCCCCATTTTGCTTAAATCCATTTTTTAAAATTTATCTATGTCATTCTATATCCCTTTGCATGATTTTAGATCTGAGATCTCCATCATACCAATATTTTTGCTGAAAAACCCACCCAATTTTGTTGGTTAAATCGACTCTCCGGCTCTCCGCTTCCGCCTTGCATCTCCCTCGATTCGCTCGATGTCCTCGCGCCAGAATCATCGGAGCAGGCCTGAGCAGATTCATCGACTGAAAAAACCACCTCTGTTCTCTTGCGAAAGTAAAGATATTGTCTACTGAGTCTACTGAGTCTACTGGTGAAGATATCTCAACTCTGAAAGAGAGATTGGAATAGAATCGGATCCAATGGATTGGATGGGATTGGAAGGGGCTGGATGGGCTTGGATTAGCTTCATAGATACATAAATACATAGAATAGATACAGAGAGAAAGAGATAGAGACATTCAGAGATGGAGAAATGGATCGATGTATAGATGCACAGATATAGAGATATAACTTTATATTTGATTTATTTATTTATTTATATATATATATATAGAAATTGATCCAGAATGATCCAGAATGATCCAGAATGATCCAGAATGATCCAGAATGATCCAGAATGATCCAGAATGATCCAGAATGATCCAGAATGATCCAGAATGATCCAGAATGATCCAGAATGATCCAGAATGATCCAGAATGATCCAGAATGATCAAATTGTAGAGGTACCAGAGGTACATCTGCATATGTCGCTACCGCGATGGCAATCTGAGTCCTCCACACTGCCGCCAGGGCTACCAAGGCATAGCCATCCGATGGCAAGATCGCCGCCAGGCTCAGATAGGCCAAGATGGCTGCAGCCATGGCAGGGACAAAGCATTCACCTGGGATTGGATGGATAGGATGGATAGGCCACTCTCTCAAATTTTCATGGGAGATTGAACTGATTTAACATGATTTAACCATCAAAGTGACAATTTTAATGGTTTGAAAATGTGGATATCTAACCAACCACGTAGACTTCGTCATAACAAAATGGGCATGTCTTGAGTCACCTCATCACTCAGCAAGCCCAGTCATGGCTACAACATCAAAACAGGTGGGATTTATGGATGTTCAGCCCCCCAAATGGTGGAGGATTAGTAAAAAACAAACAAAAACATCGCAAGACACCGTAAAAATGGTGGCGTCAAATGGTGGCATCAAAGATTTGAAGCCATCCATAGCCATCCCCAAATCATGAACTCTAAGAAACTTTACCCCAGGATACCCCAGGTCAACTGCAACAAAACCTCCGTGGGAAAGCGATGAATATATTCTATCCTGCAGCCCAGCGGCAATATTTTCTTCCGAGGCATCTTTCCAGAAGCCAACGAATCTCATCGTCGCCTCATCGATATGTTCTTTATGGGGAAACACCGCAGAAAACATGTTTTTTAATTGGGACATGGTGATATAATGGGGATATGACGAGGATATAATGGGGATGTAATGGAGATAAAATGGAACTGAAATGAGGATACGATGGGAGTATAATGGGATATAACGGGATGTATGGCCAACTATCATATGATATGGAAGTCTCGCTGAGCTGCTCATCTCCGGCTTGTAGGATTCAGCCTGTCAAGAGACACCAGCGACATGCGCCATTTTTTGAAACCAAGTTGTTGTTTTTTCAGTTTACTCTGTGTTTTATATTTTCAACCAGACTTGCACATCGTGACATCTGACAAGACAAGATCTCCATGTCCATCCTGAGTTGCCTACCTTACCCCGTGAAAAATTGCCAGGCTATTCCAGATGGACGAAGTCCCACGCGTTTCGCGCCTCCAAACACAAACGACTTTCGCATTCGTCTCTCGACAGCAGTTTCAGCTCTTGGGGCATCAAAACAATGGCCCCTGGAAGCCTGGTTCACGGGAGGTTCCATGGGCCACCCGAAAAAAAAATGGAGGATTTCATGGAACAAAAGCAGCTGCAATGCTGGGGGTATGTTTCTTGTGTGAACTGACTTAGTTCAAATAAAAACGTGACGTTGTTGGTCAATTTCAGAACTTTCAATTGTTATTTTTCATTTGGGATTCCATTCCGTCATCTCCTATGAGTTGAAAATCGGAATTTGGGAACAGGAACAGTCTATACGGCATAGTGCATGAAACATGTTTTAATTGCGATAATAAATCACCAATGTGGAATGTTTTTTCGGGAGGGTGTTCCACTTACAAGCAAACTATCATCATCTAGCATCAATGGTGACGTCGATCAGTGATGGTTTTTGGTCTTCACGTCCTCAAATTTGGGGTAGCAGTGGACCCACCCTTTCAGGGGTCGCGTAATTTTGACCCATTCACATTTGCTGTTTCAGTGTCTGGAATGACACATACAACCATTTAACCATATGACATCATATAACACATACAAGTTTGCAGATCTGTGAACCAAGGGAAATTGACGAATACACATGTGGTGTTCCTGTCTCCTCATCACTGTCTCCTATGGCCAAGTCCACTTGAGTCATGAAAAATACCACAATCCTATCCAATCATACTGATTGATTCATAAGTATCCTTATTATTATATGGGTTATCATAGTCATCAATAAATTATGTTGTCTAATGACCATATATTGATCGCTCAACAATGATGTCTTTAATGGTTCACTTGACCATGACACAGCACACTTGTGAAAGAAAATTGAAACAAGGTTTCAAAACATTTTGTTTTGGCATATTAGTTCCCGTCAATCACATTCACTGTGCATCGAAGATCCGCAAAGGCCTTGCGATCAAAGCGCCCATGATAGGCACTTTTCATGCACCCCTGCAACACGTTTCTTAGAATATTTCGTTTTTTTTGTTTGAAATGTCATGTAGAGTAAACATAAAGAAACACGACCAATTGACGTTTTGTCATATGAATTTGCAGTGTTGGATTTGCGACAACCATTTCCAAGCATTGATTTCCACATCCGCAAACCGGAAACGAAATAGCTGCACCGGCCTGCACTCAAATGATTGGACTTTTGGCCTATGCCATCCATTGGCAAACACTCCATCAACAAAGGAACTGCGCAACACAGCCACGCATCAAACATCATAGAATTCAGGACAACCAAACCAACATACCGATATCCTCTTTAAAATGTTCCCGTATTGCGACGATACAAATATCGCATGTTGTTGCAGGTGACCCCTATTGGGATGTCAATTATGGCCAACACACACGTAGTCAACCAGTTTTGGCGCAACGCTGCAAATTTCGAGCATCGAAACCAAAACAATAGTAGTTGTCTGTGTGTGCCCCTTCAAACGTGTAAATATGTTTGTGACATTAAATGTAGGCATGTTTTCATTTCATTTTTGAATAACCCCTTATGGTTCCATTTTGTATTTTGATTTCATGACATGTTGTATGTGATTTTTAAATGTTTTTTTTGATTTCGGTTCATGTGTGATGTGTTTTTAATGATTTTTTTTTCATGGTCTTTATGATTTTTGACGATTTTTTGAATGATGTTTGTTATTTTTTACATTTGTGTTGGTATGTGTTGTGGTGTTTTTTGGTACTTGTTTTGTTTTTTTTAACTTTGTATATTTAAAATATATATACATACATACATATATATATATACATATTTTTAATGTGGTATACAGATTAGTGT